GGTCTGGGTACGGGCGAGTCGTATATCCCTGTCGTGTTCTTTGATCCTCTCCTGCATAGATCTCCGTGTTAACCCGATGTAGACTTTGCCGCACTCACAGGGAATTTTTCTTTCATTGTAGCCATGCACTTGGTAGTGTAATTGACTACATCAACGTCAACCCCAGCGCGCGCATGGCACTTAAATCATGCCTTGCATGATGTGCAGAAAGTGTGTGCAGTAACAAGGCTTCATCCTTAAGGGTCCCTTAACTGATTCATTTACACACTCGTACGCGTTGCTATGGAGGTGAAATTTCACTTCCGGTTATTTACGGCAGCCTGTGCGCGGAAAATGAAAACAACTCAATATCTTGCAAATTTGCTTACATTTTAGATGTTTCTTCTTTGTGTTTCACAAGGTGCAAAATAAAAAAGTACAAGCAAAAACAAAATAGGAGAAAAACAGGAAAACAAGAGCAAAAGAAAAAGGAAAACTAGGGCCGCGTGGCTTTTTTTGATCTTACTGAAGTGCGATGGTAGTGTAAATTGCGCAGGCGCTGAAAGGGGTTAATTATATATTGGGCGCACTTCCAGTTGCTTTGAATGCTAAAGGAAACGTGGTTTTTCATTAATTATATTGAGCCTTTTTCAACAAGTTTCGGTTGAAGCCAACCTTGAAAACATAGCTATACACATTCCTTTTTCAAAATCATACTTTTTTTCAGAAAATTATGAATTTTTCAATATTTTGAAATTCTCTCAAATCTGACCTTGTAGAAATAAAACAAAATCTATGCATAGCATTATGAGGATCAAAATTAAATATTGAATCAATGAAAAAAATTCCTGACCGATAAAGTAATTTGCCTGGGAGCCTTTGCATTTTTTCAGTATTAGTCACATGACCAAGGGCATGGCCTGATGACGTCATCACTGGTGTTACTCGTCAGGAAAAAGTTAATTAAAAGTACATGCAAAAACTCTGAACTAACAAAAAATGATGAGGTTATATGGGAATAAATTTTCCTTAGCAACGGCTCAAAAAGATCAGTTAATGGGTTTAAAGAAAAGTAAGTAGCAATGTAACGGCAAGGCCTTCTACAAGCTTTCTACAGCAATAGCAACATAGCATGTGCAATTCACTCAAAGCATTTTCAATACAAATAAAACCTCACTATATTCACCTGTTTTAAGATAAGCTTGCTACTACGTGAAACTTCGTGCTACAGTGACCTGACCAGCCTCGTCCATATGACTGGAAGGTTGTATCTCCCCCGCCTCTATCCAGAAGCCAACCCCGAATAGAGACGGGGGTAGATACAAACTTCCAGCCATCTGGACGAAGCTCATCAGATCACATGTCACATGACTTGGCAAAATTACTGTGATCAAGACTCTAGCAGAGTCGAAAGCTCTGAATTTTTCTTTCGTTCATTCGTGTTGTGACAGAACCTTATAACATATTAGATTGTATATTTCCTACACAATTAAGCTAGTTTTCTAACTACAAAATAATATTTGTAGCTTTTATCCTTTAAATTCATTAATAGCTTGTTCAGATCCGTGTATTTTGTGCTTTAAAGTTAACGGGCAGAGAAGGATGGGGGTCGACAGTCCCCCTCTGTTCAAACCCTTACCTGACCTCCCCCACCTTTCCTTATGCAGGCAACTTATT